TCGCTGCGTTGCCCCTGCATGGAGTAAACATGGCGTAGTGAGTAGAACTCACAGTGAGGCAGAGACCGGACGGGATCAGACAGCTGCTTTTGTGACTCATCCACAGACCTTTCATCACTTTGTCTCCGGAGGGCGATGTTTGCCTCATCTGAATGTGTGTAGGAGGATCAGGACTGTGAGAGTGGGTGCACATTTGTTGCGTGAACGACTGTGTTTCCTAATCAGTACCGAACAGTTTAGATTTGCAGGGAGAATAAATAGTTTGACTGCACGCCAGTCTTCCATGGTAGAGGGGCAACGCTGGTGCTATAACAAACTAGCAGTAGCTACATAAATCAGCAGTGAACCAAAGAGCAGAACGATGAATATAGACTGTAACAACACAGACAGACACCGTGCTGCCGAGGGCTTTAACACTGTTGATGTGAACTGGGGTGTTGTGTTGTTGTTTTTACGGTAAAATTAATGTCATATAAATAATTTAAATTCCCTTCTAACCATTTTATCAACATTCCACGATGGACATTTATTCATAATAGGACCAGTCCCCACTTAAATGAATGGCAGGAGAGCTCCTAGCAAGTGATAGATAGCATTCCTCGTACTGACGTTGGTAATGATCTGTGATCTCTGAGTATTTATTCAACTTTTAACACAAGTGAATATACTGTGGAACCGAGCATTGAACTAAATATATTTACATTTATCCATTTAGAAGATGCTTTGCTCCAATCCAGAGCTACAAACATGAGGAGGATTATTGTTTTCACTGGCACTAGAACCCAGGACCTTCTGTGTGTAGGCAGACATGTAAGGCCTGGTATACCAATGGTTCTCCAACTTTTTCTACACTGTACCACCTGAGAAAACACTGATCTCTCTGAGTACCACCACGATGACGACATTAGCATATAGCAGCATAGGCCTTGACTATTAGCTTCCACCACACAGGAGAGATGTTTATAAATGTTTATAAAGACGTTAATGTTTAAATGTTGTGTGTTTAAAAAGTACCACAGTTTGAGAACCACTGCTATATACTATACACTCTTATTTCCCAAAGACTGGGTCGCGACCCTCAGGTGGGTCAATAACGGTCAAGTACACCTTTATTTGGTGATTTATGTCACAACCGGTTGTGACTTTTAAATAATAATAAATAGATAATAAATTGTATTTCACAGTCCTGCTGTATCTCCATCTGTTTTTAGTGTTAGCTAATCTTGACAACTGGTGTACGTAACTGTGCTAGTGAATAAACAGCGCACCAACATGATGCTGGAACATACTTTGGTATTTTCCTGTGCTTCTGTATGACATCACTGCTTTTCTCCATCAGCCATAGGAGCTCCCTGCTGCTGAATAAGAGCTGCCGTGTCTTATGAAAGGTGCTCACAGTTGGGCTTTATGGAAAAAATAGTGTGGAAGGAAACTCTACCCAAGAACATAGGGACACGCCCGAGTGCTTCTACATGAGTATTTTGTGTACTTTACACAGCAACATCACAGATGCATTTGTGTACTAGTGTATTTTTGAAGCCCAAGCTTTACACATCGGCTTTTACTTTTAGCCCAGCAGGCTAATTTAGTCCGCATATAAAAACAAACCATACGAACAACCATTCACAGAACAGAGTGTTTTGGTAAACTTTATACAACTGTGAATTAAAGAAGGTAGCATTAGCCACACTATGAATTATATAAATAAGTACAGTAGAGGCTGCTTCTAACATTCGGATGTGCATCTTTAGGCTAATTACTGGCTAACCACATTTATGTTGTTTTTCTTGATGAATTTTAGTTTTGTGTAGTAGTAGTGTTGCTATAGTTGCTTTACATAATCTTTAGATGCCTTTGCTTATTTCTTTAGTGTTTTTGCTCTTACCACTAATATTTAGCTATTTATGTGAGCTCATGTTTCTTGGCTACTTTTATTTATTTTTTTGTTAAATTTATTAGCTGATATTTTGCAATTCTTTTCAAGCATTTTTGTCTCTGTATGAAACAACTTTAACAAGTATTTAAATTTTCATTTTTTACTATTTAACTAATTATTATCTTTGATAGCATTTAGCTGTTTTAATAGCATTTAGCTTCTTTCTAATCCTCCTTTTGACTGTATGTAAGTAATATATAATAGAGTAACCTTAGAAGAAGAACACATTTTAATATAATTAAATTGGCAATATATGGCGCCATTAACCACGTTATTAATGTTCAATGTATACAGTTTTATATTGTAAAAAAAAGTTCATTCAACTATAGATAGAGTATCATGGCTAATGTCTGTGTAATATTTCTCTTCTGAATCAGCCTGTAGAATATGTTCTGGTCCAGTCACATGCTCACAGATTTAAAAATATCTTACATTAACATTACTAAAGCAGCTCAGATTCAAATTCCCCGTGTTTGCAGAAGCAGGTGTTGCATTAAATCAACATTTAGTTGTAATGCACTCACAACAACTGTCGGTGCGTTGTCGTCAGCTGTTTATCCAAAACTAAACTTCAGCGCCCACCAGAGACAACATAAGGCCGTGGTTGTCATGGAGAGGGAGAGCTGTGTTTATCTGTTGCTATGCTGGAGGGAAGGGGGCAGGTGTAATGTGTTGGGTTAGGTTGGGTGGGTGTCGGTAAAGGCCTGAATGCTACAGTGGCAATCAGCCAGAGAATGGTAAATGGAATCCAGAGAGAGGGAAAGGCCAGCCCAAAATAAATCTATACAGAGCGGACCAGTCAGAACTGCAGCTCCAGATAAGGAGGCAATGTGTATTTTATAACGGGACTGAACAGCAGTGTGTGGGCCGGAGAGCCGGGAGTTCCACCTTCAGATAACTGAATTAAATTCTCATGACATAAATACGGATGACCGAACGGTAAATTTAACACGGGGACACAATGGTCCCAGGCTAGTCTGTCTTTAAGGCTAGAACTTTCCCTGCATATACATATCTTTCTGATTATGCTAATCTAAACATAGTCATGGGAATTAAAGGTGGCAGATGTGAAACATGTATTGTCATTTCTTAAGTTGAAGACCCTAATCTTCCTGTGTCGGGGTCTAGATAGATAGATAGATGTACTTAGATCTAGATCTAGATAGATAGATAGATGTACTTTATTGATCCCAGGCTGGGAAACTGCAGATCTGGGAAATTGGCAAAGACAGGGCCAGGACATTGTTTGACTCACTTTGTGTTTCAACATGATGTTCAGTTACCACCTATCCAGAAGGGCAGTTGATTTTATCGTGGTAAAGCAGTGTTTTCCAAACTTTTTTTCTGGGTACCCATTTTTTAAAAGTGACAAACCTTGATGACCCCAACAAAAAACCTCTTGCGTCCCACCTGAGGGCTGCGACCCAGTCTTTGGGAAACAATGAATAAACAATGAAAAGTCCAAGTCATACGTTCTTGGTATATACAAATCTATGAAACTTAAGTTAGATTTTTTAGGTTGTAGTGTTCTTTGGATTATAGCATTTGCTTCGTTGTGTTGCAGGAGTGAACGTTGTAAAAATGAATTGATTTTTATCATTTAACATTAGTCAAAGCAAAAGGATGGGATTCAGGTTAAGGATTCGTTTGTGCAGTCTGAGTTACCCTCAGATTTGATCTAGTCCGTTAGACCAGACCTGGGTGTTGTAAAACATCAGCAGCCACATATACGGTACTGGAACGCCAGGAGTGATTTAATCTGAGCTGACAGCTGGGCTGATGGGGGAAAAGAGTGATTACACCTGAAATGAGATTGAGGTGATGAAAAACGCAGGCTGGTGTCAGAAGTGACGCATTAATTTGAAACCATCGACAGGACGCCGGGAATTAATTTAACAGGTTTGTGCAGCGTTGCTGTGTCGGTTTGTATTTACAGTAGAAGAAATTGATTTTTAAATAGACAGGGAAACAGTTTAAAAAGATACAGTATTAGCCTGAACCTGTTTGAGGTGCTCATGATAAAATGCAGCCATAAAGATGTTACAATCTTTTTTTGAAATTAAAGGAATGGAAATATTTAATTAACATATATTTGAATAGATGATGTGGTGATTCTTAAAAATATTCAATTAATAGTGAGTTGTATTTTTTTAATCAATAGCCATTCAAATTAATAATACAAATAGCTCAAATAAAATTAAAAAAAAAATGCAGGTTTTCTTTTGCGTCATTAAAATAATTTTTTTTTAAAAATGCAGGTTTTCTTTTGCGTCATTGACTGTGTCTACAAATGGAGGAAACGCTTAAGAATAGAAGAATAGAAAAGATAATACTGCACAAGTAAAGTTGCTACATGCAGGTGACGTCTTTAAACTTACTTCTAGCGAGAATTGATAGTTAATACATTTAGTTTAGGACAGGAAAGTGATTACCAAACGTTTCTGGATTGAATCGGTGCAGTGATGACTTGGCATGATGATGGCAATGATGGCAAAGGTTCGTTGTTGGACAGTTTGGACCATCAAACTGTCACACAAAGGTTCGTTGTTGCACAGTTTGGACCATCAAACTGTCACACAGTGTCCTCTCACGTTCTTATCCTGGTGCTTGTAACTTACATTGATCTTTTTTAATGTTCATTGACATCACCCTTGAGTGTACACTGTTGATATCCATGAACCTCTCTGGGCCATATTTAGGTAATACATAATCGATATTTTAGGTCAGTAAGTTTATAGGTATTCAGAGAAACAGCAATCCGTGTTTTTGTATTTTTATTTAAATAATAAATAGGTGGGTGTGACGGTGAAAGTATGACTCATGATATATAAATAGCGCCACTAGATGGCACTCTGTACCAGGCTGATGTTGTCAACACAGTTTCTAACCCAAAGGCCAATGAAATATCTGTGCGAAGGTGATCATTTTTACATGACAACCCAAATGTCATCATTTAGATGAATCATACAGCGGCATCACGTCCTCTAATTGTGTGGTAAATGTCAAATTGGAAAAAAAAAGCCGATTAACTTCATAAATTGTCCCAATCTGTCCCAATTTGCAGGACCACGTGAAGGCACCGAAGGAGACAAAGACAGCGGAGGCCGCTGTTAGGGGTGACGCAGTGGAAGGCCTTCAGCAGATATCTGAGGAAGGACCAGAGGGATGCCCGGCTAACGTCAACTCAGACGAGGAGGTGGAGATTGAGGAGATTATCGAAGAGTCTCGCACCAAGCGCCTGCAACGCTCCACCAAGCAGCAGGTGGACAACATCAAGAAAGCCTTCTCTAAAGAAAACATGGAAAAGACCAAACTGAAGACGAAGGAGAACTTGGAAAAGACCAGGCTGAGAACCCGCGAGAACCTGGAGAAGACCAGGCAAAAGACCAGAGACAACCTGGAGAAAACCAAACACAACCTGGAAAAGAAGATTGGCAAACTCGGGACCCGCATGACCCCCACCCAGGAGCGCAGGGCAAAGCTGAAGAGCTCCAAAGATAAGATGAAGAAGTCCCTCACCCCCGACCACACCGTCTACGCTCGCTCCAAGACGTCCGTGTACCGAGTGCCGCCGTTCACCTTCCACGTGAAGAAGATCCGAGAAGGAGAGGAGGAGGTGGTGGTGCAGAACACAGAGATGCAGGATGTGGCCGACGCCGAGGAGCAGCCGGAAGGAGAGGAGAACGGCCATGACCTGCACAAGGAGGTGGAGGAAGAGGAGCTACTAAGTGTAGACAGCCCAGAGATGGAGAATCTGTTGCAGGTGATCGAAGACTCTCAGCTGGTCACGATCTCAGAGTCGGATCACTCTAAGAAGAAGCAGCGAGATTAAAACATCATCACGGCTCAGTGAAAAAAAAAAGAATAAATGAGATAGGGGAGAAATGTAACCATGAACGTACAGTATGTCATCACAAGGACAAGGACAGTATTAGACACAGGGACTTTCTAGACGAAGTCACAACCTGAGAGATGTCAGGTTTTTTTTCTGTTCTCTTTTTACTCAATATGGATGACTTTCATATCTGCTTCTCTTTGCCATATAATAAATAAAATAAGCAAAAAAAAAAAAACAGCTTTTAAAAAACGTTTCAGGCTGATAATCTTAGTTGTGCACTTTTTGAATATCTTGTATCTGTCACCGGCGTGACAATTTGACAGGCTTGAAGGAAAGGTGTTTGAAGAGCGTTTGTGGTTGAGATGTTGATTAGATGTACTATTAGGTGTAATGTGCGCACAGAGAGGAAGGAAGAACGCAGGAAGGAAAGGGATGAACTCCTTTATAAGGAGATCACAGATAAGCAACAACACGTCAAAGCACTAAAGCACTACAGGGAATGTTTACAGGAAGTAGGAGGCAAGATTTACATTGCTTCACCGTGTGAATTATAGCGTGACAGTTTTCAGGGCCTGAGCACCAAGACCTCCAGACGTGGAAGGATTGAGAGTGATACTAAGACAAATCTTTTTTCTTTTTTTTTTTACGCCCTACATTTGAGAATTCCTAGCGGGGCCTGACGTGGTGACGTCTTTATTGATGCTGCGTGCCAAGGCTAAGAGAAGTATTGATTACTTAGAGGAACCTGAGAAGGGTCTCCTGGGTTGAAGTAATCCTAACATGTATTACCTGGCTTTGAAGTGGTTAGAGCTGTAATTAAATAAAAGCTAAACCATTGAAAGCGAATGCATCGTAGCATGAATGAATTCATAGTAAAATTTGAATATTATAAAACACATACAGTACTGTAAAAGAATGGTAGATAACATGTATAGATGTCTATTGTATAACAATACCATTAAAGCAAAATACATACAGCGCGATGCTTTAAACGGAACTCATTGTAACAGACACCTGAACCGTCCAACAGGAGACAGGTTGCAGGAAGCATTGGCGTCATATGCCAGGTTTCCTGTTATGTTTTATTGTATGCATTTCGTTTAATGTTATTATATATTATACATTGGTATATTTGGCATCATGATCCATTAAAGAAGTGCTGAAACAAGCAATTGAAAATAAAAGATTCAAAGGGAAAATGTGTGTGTTATGGATAATGTGTGTGTAACTCCATAAACCTAGGCTGCTATGAATATGGAGTTTCCTCTGTGACCAGCAAATGACAGTCTTTGTCTGGCACTTTCATCCACTTTCATTTAAGTGCTTTTCATTCTACCAAAAATACTTTATTAAAAAAAAAAAAACAAAAGCTAAAAATCAAAGTCATAAACCTGCTGTAATCATCAAATACCTGTCACATTTTTTTTTTTTTTTACAGTTCAACACAGTACTTAAGCCATAAAGGAGACGAAGGAAACAATGGTATTTCTATGGTTACGGCTCATAATTGTGCATTTGCACAATCCTGTTGGTTAAATTGCAGGAAGAAGAAAAATTACAGTCTGAAGAGCAAGTGACTGACACGCAGAGACAAAAATGGAATTTTGAACTCCAGTTGCCGGCAGACAGGCGCTTTCATGAATCGCACAGCACTTGAACAAATGCCAGAACACATGCGTAGCACAGCAGCGTGTGCACATTTTTTTCCAGAGAAAATTTCCTGTGAATCAAACAGGCAATATGAAAAAAAAAACAAAAAACATTTGCAGCCTGGAAGTTAAATGCACAGTAGTTGGTGTGTAACTAATGTAAAGTAAAGTGAAAACACTCTCACTGGTCAATGTTCTGTTAAAGCAAGGCCTACGGCTGGACAAGGTGAATGTATGTAAAGCCTCAGTGTTCCTGGCTGAAGGCTGTGCTGTATGTAACTTTGATGCAGTGCAGGCACACAGGAGCCCAGTGTGCAGCATGGAAAGCCATTAAAATAATCAATCGTCAGAGAGAATGCAATTAAGAAGAGTGCTCCGCCTGAGCACAAAGCAGGGAAGAAAGCCGCGAGAGGGACAGAGAGAGAGAGAAATATCTGTGTGTTTGTGCGTGAATGCGTGTTTGTGATGGTAAAGAATATGTGCATTACATACACCCACAACGATGGGTCGCCATCTTTATACACTATACTGTATGTATAGTTAGCAGTGAGCATTGAAACACTTGTAAAAAATAAATAAATATATGAATGTGTTTTCGACATACATTTTAAGAAATGGACGAGGCGATATGCTTGTAAAACTGAAGTCTACACAAAGAAGGGAAGTTCTGCTCATTCATTGAACTTTATATAGTTCCCTAAAAAGGTTTGTAATGTTTTGTCTATTTCCAATTTGCAGAGAAATAGACAACAAAGCAAAACAATAATGATTCATATGAGTGAAAGCTGCCACATATTGTCAAAGTTGATAGTTTGGAAATAGAAACTGAGTAACTACCTGGTTGTAAAAAGCAGAAATCATCACAATCTCTTTAGGGAAATGTTTACTGCTGTTGCAAATCGAGTAAGAATTGGTGTGATTTTCTCTTAAACTGCTTTGGATTCACTTGGAGCGTTTGCGCTGACACCGATGTTCACTTCACTTTTGCAACATGACGTCTACATCCATTTCTAATGTATGTTTTATTTCTTGCCAACATGTACATTTTTGGTTATTTTTGTTAAAATAAACCGGCCTTTTACAGGTGTGATGTTGGTCATGCACGGCTAATATAGAAATGTAGTAATTTAAGATATTTAATTCACCTAAAATGGTATGACAATAATCATTATATTAAAATCATTAGGCTTGTCTTTTTTTGTTGTTGTTGTTGTGTTAATGGACTGTTTGCTTTATCATTTCAATATGAATAAAAGCTTACTAAATACAGTTGTTTGTTGGTTCTTTGCGATGTGTGGTTTTAGATGTTTCACAAAGCTGTTTTTCTACAAAGTTTGCTACACTTCCTAGAAGAAAAAAAAACTCTAATTGGAACAGGAGCTGTAAACTAACCAAGAAGAGTGAATTGTCTGACATAAACTATTTAAAAAGTCAGTGCATGCAACAAAGTACAATTTGCTGCAATTTGCGAAATCACACAGAAAATGATCAACTGAAATCCATCCGCACTTGCAGATACAAAGTCTTTGACTGATGTTTCTTCTATGACGTTCTTTTTTAATTAATTAAATTAATTAGTCTATTTGAGAAGTGCAACAACGTTTTTGTTTTTTAATTATTTAGTTATTTGTAACCTGTATAAAAATGTGCTTTATGTTGTGTTGCTTTAATTGTTCACAAAATTGGAAAACGATAAGGTTAAAATTGGATTGACTCGTTATTTGAAAGCTGTAAGGAAGAACAACCTTGGCGTTATTAAACACTTGATGACGTCAACACTGCCAGTAATTCAGATGACTTCCAGCTTGGCTGTTCTATTAAAGTGTCTGCCCGCCCTCTAAAACGTAAGCGTTCCTATAGCCTGTCTAGGTTACGCCGGAGGGGTGTATGTTACAGCGGGAACAGCGCAGTTGCGACAGAAGTAAACATGGCGCCCTCAACCTACCCTGTCATTTGGGCCCGCCCTTATACCCATACCAGCAGTTTGATTGGATATAACTGAGTGCCGCACTACTGTTGGCTTTCGGTGTTGTCAGTAAAGTCGTCGGGTAAGCTTGTGTGGCTGAAACACTGCAATGTAGAGGTTGGGTTTACTGGTGTGGGAGAGAAGTGTGTTATTGGAGCCGCTGGAAGAAGAAAAAAAGTCGAACCTTTCCACGTTTTACCTTATTAGCCGTCTGTTTTAAGTGTTTGTTAAAGTCGTTTGCGGGATCTGATTTCCGTGACTTTTCGTATAAGGCCCCTTGTTTTTCTACTAAATAACTTTCCGAAAGTGACAACAAGGAAGGTAAGAAATAGTGACTTTCGTAGTCTGCCGTCGTAGTTGGTGATTTTTAAAAAATCACTAGTATTAGTCACAATGCAAACAACAGAGCTATGTTTATCCGAAGTTATGCGGGCCAACACACGTTAGTTAGTAACGTTAGTGATGTTTGTCCTCACACTGCTGTCTACCATCATTAAAATGGGGGATGTCTTGTTGTAGTGATTATTATTGACTTGAAGTTCAATGCGAACGTCATCTTAAACTATTTAAATGTGTTGGTGCTGTTATAATGCTCATGAAGAAATAGGTCATTTTATTGTGTTTGCCATGAAATGTCACGCCCATCATTATCTAGCTGCAGGACAACATGTCTGACACCGTACACCGTTACACAACCTTGGGTCCATTTAATTTTAGATATGAAACATATGTAGGTTCATTAAAGATGAGAATGATGCAGAGGAAAGTTTACAAAATTTTGAGAAAGTGGTAATGAGGTTCTGTGATTTAAAAGGTCTGGGATTGTTCACTCATCCAAATCAATAGGAAAGGCACCAAGGAGGTAAGGTGCAGACAGGGTAGAGTGAAAGGACAGGGTTCAAAATGAGATATGCCATAAGATGCACAAAAAATTGAACACAGGAGAAAGACGTGTGTTTTTTATGGATCCAGATAAGTGGGACTTGGACGTCCCACTTGGACGTGGAAGACGGAGACAGGTTTGGATGGAGGTAGATATTATGTTGAAGGATTGTTTATTTATAATAGTTTGAAGAACTGGAAAGCCTGCTTGGCTTCTGATGTCCTTTGTCTACTTCCAGGAAGTGCTTACCGGAATATCTGTCTCATAACTCATTGTGCTGTTTCAATGCCAAAAAACTAGAAACCAGACCAGTCAGAATAGGCCTGACACAAACAGTCATGTGGACTGGTTTGTTTACATAAATCTGGCCCCCTAAGGCTGTCATTGACAAGTCACTAACTTGCAGTTTTTTCCACAGCCATATTTTGGTTATCATCAGGTCACTGTCCAACTTTATTTCCTCCATATTGCTGATAAACAAAATGACGTGTCAGAGTGACTTTGCCAAACAATTCTTACTAGTACTGGGGATATGCATTACTGATTGTATATTAAGTTAATTTCTTTATTATAAAAACCTAATTACTATTAACAATTTATTGACCATATATGGGAGATGAGTAGCATTTGTAACTAGTGGTGCTATTCATTCCAAATGCATTGGTCAATGATAGACTATCTGAAGTCCACACCAAACACAGTAGACCATTCTAAAGCACAATTGGTCTAGACCCAGCCGAAATTCTAGTAGGCGACAATGGCAAGCTTTGTCACCAGCTGTGGGCATCATCTCAAAGTTGACAGCTAAGACCATGCTTCACAACGCCCCTTTTATAGAAGAGAGCTTTGAGCTAGAGTCAGGAAAACATCAGTGTTCTATGAAGACTTCCTACCAAATGTTGGAAATGTCCAGTTGTTTCTGATGTAGGGATAAAGCTTAAAATATCACTGTTATATCATTGTTACGAGACTTGAAAAAAATGATCAATTTGAAGTTTTTACAGTCAGGCAATATTGGATTAGGACTGCAAGTATCGCTGTTTTCAAGGTTTTTATTCACCTTTTTGGCTAAATACCCCCATTTATTAAAAAAAAAAAAAAATCATGCTGCTGCCTAAAGTTAATCTGGGCCAAACACTTGTTTTTGATTAGCGACAAACCACATGTCAAAAATGTATTTGCCACAACCCAGCTTTAGGGCTTCCAATTTTGTGTCTCAAGAGGCTCCTTTGTTCAGAAACCTTCATAGAAAAAGTAGGCTAGAATTTCTTGTCAGTTTCCAGATGACCAAAATCTTTAGTCAGTTGCAGTGCTTTTATATGTGAGGGAAATCAAAACCTTCATAGCTTTTAGGTTAGCTTTAAGTATATAATAAATTGACTGAACTCATATGGAGAGACACTTACATAATCTTGTACAGCCATTATTAAACGCTAGCATCACAACACAGAGGTTAAGACAGGTTTTGTCAAAGTACTTTATAATAAATACAGTATAATTATGGGGGGGGGGGGGGGGGGGGTTCAACCCCAAAAAAATCCAATGTGGATAGTCGATTTTTGTACACAGTCTACAGGCCTATCATTGTGAGATCCTGGTAAAATGAGAAGAGAAGGCTTATCTAATGACAAAAGACCAAACCGGTATGATTCCCAGAAACTTGTAATATGGATAAAAAGCCGAAATCGAAACCTTTTGTTGTTTTCTACATTATTAGCCCTGTGAATTTGGTTTTGGTTTAACCAGAAAACCCCTCAAACCTTTTAAAAACCATTAAATACCATCTGCTGAGGGAGATGACTCTGTTACCATCTGTTCACAAGGGGCTGTCATTTTCAGTGGAGGTTTAGAGTTTCACTGAACAGGAAGTGACGGCACTGTGAATAGGAAGCCTCCCCCAGGGTTGTCAGCGCTCTTGGAGGAAACCATACATTTAGCCGTTTCTCTCTGGTCACTTCCACTGAAATATATATAATAATGTGTCTTTTGTAATAAGTATTGTGATCCCTATTGTGGGATCTTGCTCAAAGTGTTGTTGTTTTTTTTCCCCTTTCAAATCCTTCTTTCTCTTCTTGGTAGGTTTTGAGGGGATTTATGACAAGATGGCACAGTGGAATCAGTTGCAACAGCTGGAAACCAGGTATCTAGAGCAGCTGTACCATCTGTACAGCGACAGCTTTCCCATGGAGCTGCGGCAATTTCTTGCACCCTGGATTGAAAGCCAAGACTGGTAAGAAATAAATAACACTTTGATATTTTTTCCACACTCACTATTACATCACACTCACTGTTACGTCACAGTCATTACAACAGGAAGCACACAGGTGCATGCTCATATTATATTAATATTTTTAGGTGTTTATAAATTCCAAAAAAAAAGAAAAAAAATATTTTAGCTGAAAATGTAAAACCAGGGCCAAAAGCATGTTACAAACATTTAATTTAGACTTCAAGGTACCATGTTAAGTTGCACAGAGGTAAGTATGTGATAATATAGCAACTCAGATACTGCATGAATTTACTACTTACTACTTTTCTTTTACATGTTTTCAACACAGGAATAAAATAGCAAGTTAAAAGTACTGACCACATTCGTGGTGAAAAAACGTGTGTGTTGTTACTGAAAATGAAAGCAACACCTGTCTGTTCTATTTCGCCTCCAAAAAACTCCCTTCTAAATTAAATTCCTGCTTAATCTATTTTTATCTAACAAACGACCTGCTTTGACTGACAGAGGTGAATTTATTTATGCAAATTTAAGTATGCTCTGTGGGTTTATTTCAGAAGGCCCAGCTTCCTCCCCACAATCCCACCTCGGTGTTTCATGTTCAGAACAAAGAACGGAAAGGAAGTGTCTTTCTTTTTTTCTCATCACCTTAATGGCAACGAAAGCATTTTAATAATTTAATTGAAAAACAGTAAACAGGCAAAATTTTGTTTAATCATGGGCCAGATGTGGGGGATTTGTGGGCTGGAAGAGTCCCCAGGACCAGGGGTTTGGGACAACATTTCAGAACAAAACAAAGATGTGAATGTAAATTTGAAACCTAAATGTAAATTGTAAAACTGGTGAATTGTCCAGGATGTTCTACCTTTGACCTGTGACTGCTAGGATATTCTCCACCCTAGTCACTGTGACTTGCTTCTTCAGGCCACTCTTATTTTAACACTTCACATCCTCTTGTCATTCACCACCTGTAGAAAAGGAATGCAATTCTTATACTATTTTGGGTTTTTACCAGGGCCTATGCTGCCAACAAGGAGTCTCATGCTACACTGGTGTTCCATAACCTCCTGGGAGAGATAGATCAGCAGTACAGCCGTTTCCTGCAGGAGAACAACGTTCTCTACCAGCATAACCTACGCAGGATCAAACAGCATCTGCAGAGCAAGTACCTGGAGAAGCCGATGGAGATCGCCCGCATCGTCGCCCGCTGTTTATGGGAAGAGCAGCGGCTCTTGCAGAGCGCTACGACTGCCGGACAGGTAAGGAAATGAATGCATAATGCATAATAAGCGTCAGATTTCTGAAAGTCGTTAACATGTGCAGTCATTTATTTACTTAACAAAATAATGTCTGATTCTTGTGCAGGATGGACAGGCAGCTCATCCCACTGGAACAGTGGTAACAGAGAAGCAGCAGATCCTGGAGCACAACCTGCAAGATATCAGAAAGCGAGTGCAGGTGGGTTTTCAGTAGAGACTTGTGGAAGACGTATTCTAAAATTCCGGACTGTTCTGATAAAAATACAACCAATGTCGATCTTGTCTTTAACAGGACATGGAACAGAAGATGAAAATGCTTGAGAACTTGCAGGATGACTTTGACTTTAATTATAAGACTCTGAAAAGCCAAGGAGGTAGATTCAGCTCAAGATTTAATTATTTGCCCTTTTTTTTAATTTTACCTATTGTGAATTGTGACCTTTGACCTTTATTTCTTTTTTTTTTTGTCAGAGTTGTCCCAGGTTTTATTTTTATTTTTTTGTCAGAGTTGTCCCAGGATCTGAACGGTAACAGTCAGGCAGCCGCAACAAGACAGAAGATGGCTCAGCTTGAACAGATGCTGAGCGCCTTGGACCAGCTGAGGAGGGTGAGTTATGGAATGTTAGCTGTGGGATAGAAAGGGTACGAATCACATATGAGCCGCAGGTAAAAACGCCGAACATTCACTTTATCTCGCAGCAAATCGTGACAGAGATGGGTGGCCTGCTGACAGCCATGGATTATGTGCAGAAGAACTTGACAGACGATGAACTGGCAGACTGGAAGAGGAGACAGCAGATTGCCTGTATTGGAGGTCCGCCCAACATCTGCCTGGATCGCCTCGAAACATGGTAAACAGGAGTGCAGTGTTTAACATTTTTAAAGTCAAGAGACGCCGCTTTATCACCGTATGTCAGAGCATGTTAATCAAACAAGCAGCAGATACACATAATACATTCTGCCTTGAAATTCTAACCAGGATCACGTCGTTGGCCGAGTCCCAGCTCCAGATTCGTCAGCAGATAAAGAAACTGGAGGAGCTCCAGCAGAAAGTGTCCTACAAAGGAGACCCAATCATACAACACCGACCTGCTTTGGAGGAGAAGATTGTGGATTTGTTCAGAAACCTGATGAAGAGGTACGAGATCTTCGCATCATCACATCAACGCCTCACCTACTTATTTTTGGAGCCTTCAGCTAAATAACACAGATTAAAACTACCTGTACATTTATGAAGTAACTAAAGTGACTGTATAAGTATTGGTCTAAAGTACACTGAAGTACTTCTTTGATTTGACATGAGGGCTTCTTTTCTTCTAGTGCTTTTGTGGTAGAAAGACAGCCGTGTATGCCAATGCACCCAGACCGACCTCTGGTCATCAAAACAGGTGTTCAGTTTACTAATAAAGTCAGGTAAGTTCATGCATATATGGTATTTTAATGGTCAGTTTAAAATGGGCATCGTGAAAATAAATAACTGAGATAAATACATTTCTTTTAGGTTACTAGTCAAATTTCCAGAACTTAATTACCAGCTGAAAATAAAAGTTTGCATCGACAAGTGAGTAAAGTTTTTTTTTTTTTTTTTTTTGCTTCTTTAATTTATCGTAATTTATACAGCATGTTTGCAACATGAACATTTTTTTTACTGATTTTACTGGTATTGTTACAGAGAATCCGGCGATGTGGCTGCAATTCGAGGGTGAGCAATTTTTTTCCTCCTTCTTTCAAAGCTGCAACACTTTACACAGTCATCTCAAACCTGTTTTCGTTTGATTTTCTTAGATCACGAAAATTCAATATTCTTGGCACCAACACCAAAGTAATGAACATGGAGGAATCCAACAACGGCAGCCTGTCAGCAGAGTTTAAACACTTGGTGAGTCGTTGCTGCAAAATATGCAGCGTTTGGATCATATAGATACACAGATGCAGAGCAGTGACTTCCTGTTTTTTTTTCTTTGCAGACCTTGAGAGAGCAGAGGTGTGGTAATGGCGGCCGGACCAATAGTGATGTAGGTCCTCTTCTAGTCACAGTTAACGAAGGAATGCATGAATGATTACATACGTATTTATAAGGGAGTATTAAACACACGTTTTTTTTTCTCCAGGCCTCACTGATCGTCACAGAGGAGCTCCATCTCATCACTTTTGAGACAGAGGTTTATCACCAAGGTCTGAAGATAGATCTGGAGGTGGGTATCAGAAGTGTGTGAATTGTGAGTGTTTTCTCATTTTCGTTTTCGAACACCATTTAATTGCAGAGCACAGTTGTTGCTCTTTGACTCCCTCCCTCCCGCAGAGAGAGTTGAGTGACTCACTTCGCAGAGGGAGTTTAACAAATGGGTCATATCATATCTCTGGGATCTAAATGTTCTTTCACCTACAAGTAAACCTCTCTCACCATTATGACCTGGCCAGTCTGAGAGGAAACTGATTAAATACCGTTAAAATATTGTAAGAACAACAACAAAAAAAACCATATTAAACTGAAAACGATGAAACATACACTTTAACATGGATACACTAAATAACTAAATCACAGTGTCCATACAGTGTAGACTGTGTGGGCCTCAGGCTGCAAGGAAAAAAGTAAAAAAAATGTTTCATACTTTTCAGGGTTTGTTGTGGATACAGAGAGTTTTCATTACAGGTTAAGTTTGAGAAAAAACAATTTTCCTGCTTCACCTCTGTGAAGAAATGGAGCGGAGCAGCTCTTGCTTCATAACAGTGGAGGAGTGTTAGGTTGATACCTGTCTTATCGGTCCTCAGTATATTTATAGAACCAGTGAATACATGTTCACTGTAAATATTGCCTGGTTTATGTGGCTTGGACAGAAAACTGTGCAGAAGATGATCTTAGAAAGTCAAGGTATTTTTCAAGGTGGTCAAGGTGGACTGAGAAGAATTCACAGCACTTGCACATGTTGTTATATATATTTACCAAGGTTAAATATATTTTTATAAGACATTCGAGACATGTTCAACTGAACCTAAACGTGTATTTGCTAAGGATTCGTCATAACCAATGAAAACATGCTCTGAATAATGAAGAATTAATAATCTATTTTCTATTCCTCTCTGATTTATCCAGACTCATTCTCTGCCCGTTGTCGTCATTTCAAATATTTGCCAAATGCCCAACGCCTGGGCTTCCATTCTGTGGTACAACATGCTCACTAACCACCCTAAGGTAAAACAGCACCCCCTGGTGGGTATGGGGCAAACTGGTTAGAGCAATAAAAAAACAATATGGACATTTTGTTTTGTTAAATGCTGTGTTTAAATTGTGGGGTTTTTTTGTTTTTTGTTTTTTTGTGTCTGCACAGAATGTAAACTTCTTCACCAAACCTCCAGTGGGAACGTGGGACCAGGTGGCCGAGGTGCTCAGCTGGCAGTTCTCCTCTACCACCAAGAGAGGCCTGACCATTGAACAGCTCACCACGCTGGCTGAGAAATTACTTGGTGATTTGAGTTTTGGTTTTGTACTTTGCACGTAGTCTCATGTTTGAACGTAATGTAATGTAATATTGTTTGTCCGTCTAGGTCCCTGTGTCAACTACTCTGGCTGTCAGATAACCTGGGCCAAGTTCTGCAAAGTAGGTCACCGCCTGCGTGTATTACTGTAAGCCGTATTTACTAACTGTTTGGTTACTGTAAATTATGTTTTGTTTTTTTTTTCTGACAGGAAAACATGGCCGGTAAGGGCTTCTCCTTCTGGGTGTGGCTGGACAACATCATTGACCTGGTGAAGAAGTATATCCTGGCGCTGTGGAACGAGGGGTAAGGGGTCATCCTTTGTTAACCCTCAACTCCCTGATGGGTCTTTTAGGTTGATGGATGGCTTTTTCCAATGTTTTGAACTACAGTAGTCAATGGATTTAAAATAGACTGCCATCCTGTTTTTTTATGTACAGTTACATCATGGGATTTATCAGCAAGGAGAGGGAGAGAGCCATTCTGAGTCCGAAACCTCCTGGCACCTTCCTGCTGCGCTTCAGTGAGAGCAGCAAGGAGGGGGGCATCACATTTACATGGGTAGAGAAAGACATCAGTGGTAAGGGTCTCCGCTCCTCATTTAATGTTCCAGGAACAATGTGTGTCTTTTTTGTTTTTAAAAACGACAAACGTCTTATTGCACCGACAGGAAAAACTCAGATCCAGTCTGTGGAGCCGTACACCAAGCAGCAGCTCAACAGCATGTCGTTTGCCGACATCATTATGGGCTACAAGATCATGGACGCCACCAACATCCTGGTCTCACCCCTGGTCTACCTTTACCCTGATATTCCCAAAGAAGATGCTTTTGGAAAGTACTGCAGGCCAGAGGCTGCACCTGAACCGGAGATGGGCGACTCCACGAGCAGTAAGCGTCGATGCGTTTCACCATTTTGAGCAGCGTCTTGAAACTTTTGATGTAATTCTTACAAATGTCCTCTTTTTCCTGACAGCCATTCAACCGTACTTGAAGACAAAGTTCATCTGTGTTACACCGTGAGTATTAATCACTTCTTTATCTTTAGGAAACATACACGAGACTATGGCGTCGAAATGCTTTGATTAGATAACCAGAAAAAGCTAACTGACTATTTTCATAGTTCATCAGTAAATACATTTAAATACAAGCTAAATCTACTGAAGGTTTCTGGCATTGACCAGCTCACTTCAAGTTTTTGTAATTTAGTTTCTTGGGACCGTGCGAAACAGTTGATTAAGGAAAAAGTTGCTGATGTTTTTCTTTTCAGGGATTTGTCCTTCTCTTCCTATAAAAGAATAACGTCAGCACAATCAGAAACCAAAGTTCCTTTTTAAAGCCCTTTCTCATGTGTGTGAAAAGGGAACAATGATTTACCATCATTTTCAGTCACTGCAATCATTGCAGGAACTGTCCTGCTGCTCAGACCAACACTGTCACAGTAAATATGCATTTACTGAGGGACGTCCACGCTCCTGTCAATCAAATCCTTTTTGGTAAAATATTTTTTCCTGTCATGTGACCAGAGGGATACATTGCCCTCTAGAGTATTTGTCACATCAGTTGGCAACTGGTTGCAAAAGATTTCGTGAATCAGTCGCCAGTGTTGTAAAGCTTCTCACACAGGACAAAGATAACGACAACGATAACAAACAGGTGCATTTTATTAAAAATGTCCTTAAATGTTTTAATTTTTGGGCCATGTTGAGAGAGAAAAGGGTGGGAGAGAGAGAGAGAGGGAGAAGACTCGCAAGAGATATCAGTCGGGTCTGGACTTGAACCTGGGTTTGGCTGCTGATGGCAGCTGACTAGTAATGATGTCACTGGCAGCAGTTTTATTTAGAACTGGCCAAATACTAATGCTGATAAAAGAGCTAATTGTAAAAGAAACATCTACTCCCAGATTGTTTTGCAGTGAGTTCATTCTATAAGCCGTCACATGTCAACATAGTAAGTGTTGACCTTTCTTTAAACTTGAACTGAATTTAAATTCATAAAAATGCTTTTCTCATTCAATAATGATATACATACAAATTAGTTTTTGCCACTGTTAGACAAATAAAGTAAATATTGAAAAAGAAATTGTCCAGATATAACCCACTTCTGCTCCCTCTATTGGTCCACGCCCTGCACTTTGAGAACCAATGGGAGCCCGTCACATTGTGAGAGTGAATGATAATACGGCCGGGTGCTGAGTCATGATTTTGGTGGGTTTTAAGGTTTGCTCAGTGAGATCCTGACCTGTCTCCGTAGGTGTCCCTCCGTGTTCATGGACTTGCCGGACAGTGAGCTGCTTGGGAACGGATTCCCAGGGTAGGAACCTGGGGCAGGGGAAGGTGGCATGTAGGGCTGTGTGTGCGTCACGTCACTTTGTCTGTGTGTTGAATTGGCTTGACTTTGTTGTAACCAAAAGTGTATCAGTTATATTTGGTTTGATCACCCGGGCTCGCCCTCCCCCTCCCTTTCCCCCCCGACGTCCCTTCCATTCAAATCCATTTGTTTGAATTTCACAGTCAAATCATTCACACGCAATATTAGAGTCAACGTGAGATGATTCTTCAGAGGAACCTGTCCATTGATAACGAGTGACTAGAAGAACAGATTGCAGAAAAACTTTCTACCCCTCAGTTTTTTTCTTAATATCTTCATGTCATTTCTAACCAAGAATCCTGTAGTCTCTCTCTCTCTCTCTGTGTGTGTGCATAGTCCTTTTAGTATTTCACTTTTCACTTTTGGGAAAGTCATCTGAGTTTTTGGAGCCATCACATTTCATTACGCCTTTTTATTCTCCAGTAAAACAGAATCATTGTTGGGGTTCAGTTTTCACCGGTTGCTGTGGATTAGCATTAGATAGGCTAACCCAAGGGTGCCCAATAAGTAGATCGGGATCTACCAACAGATATCAAAGGGAGTGCTGGTTTATCCTGAGCAATTACATTTTAAAAAATGATTAAAATTATAGATAATAATTTGAACTATATTGATCCCATATTTGGGAAATCCTTGTGTTAGCAGCAGATATGCTGTTAACAGGCTGCCCCCAGGAGGCGCCAAGCATGTGGTTCCTCTGGAAATCGAACCCAGGACTCTCTGTTCTCTGCATCCGAGGCAGTCGTGCTAAACGCTACACTGTGGAACCTTCGATGTAAATTTATTTTAAGATGCTAATCACTATGGCTAATGTACTGAGTCAGACAGTATTGTGCCATACAACTGCAGTGATTTAATCACAGTACCCAAATATAATGTATATAATAAGATATTCAGTTTATATTCAGAGTACATATACGTTGGTAGATCACTTTACCGTTTGAAAAGTAGCTCCCAAGACAACGAAGTGTGGACACCCCTGGGCTAACATTAGCTTGGGAGTGGTATTCATAGCACTACTGTGTGTGTGTGTGATAATCTGTTAATGTAGTAAATTTCAGTATTTTTTTTCTTCTTCTTTGTCTTCACAGCACAAATTCCGGAAACACCAGTGACCTCTTCCCTATGTCTCCTCGTACTCTGGACTCCCTGATGCACAACGAAGCTGAGGCTAATCCTGGACATTTGGGTGAGTCAGTTGTTTGCACTTTCAGAGTAAGTGCGTTGAATAGAATAGAATTCATCCCCGACGGCAGTTTGTTCAATAATAGGTTCTGCGGCTATTCATTGTCTAAGTAAAAAGATAAAAATATCACATTTTAAAAACTAGTTCTGAATTAGAAGATTCAGATTTTGCATTTCCATTGCCATTTGCACAAGCCCCTCGGCTCGCATTTATAATAAATGATGATTTATATTTTCAATTCATCCACAGAATCGTTGACTTTGGACATGGACGTGACTTCACCCATGTGAAGATGCCAGGATTTGAAGATGTTTCTTCCCTTCTGTACAGTTTGTTTGTCATCCTTGTATAAACTTCCACACGGTGGGGAACTGAGTGCATTCTGAAAGGCACTGCCACTTTTATTACAGTGTGTGAAACTGTTGATCAATACTGACTTAATTACTCATGTGGTTTTGTATTGTATTAATTTACCCGTCCTATTGTTGGCTGTGGTTCGTCATAAATCCATTCAGCTTTTCTTCTCTTTCAATTCCCTCTACATCCTCTCGTCGGCTACACTCTGAAACAAACGTTTAAATTTTAATCGTCCTGCTTTGTTGGGTTTTGTTGCATTTTTAATGTCTGCTAAATTTAGCATCATAGGTTTGTTTTGTTTTTTTAAGTGCATTTATTGCACTTAAAATCAACTATGCTACATTGTCCTTTTGAATTTTCTTTTCTATTCCTTGTTCCATTTTAAACTGTAAAAATGCCTAGAAGTAAAGTTAATCACCGGTGAACCTTTTTTCTTTTCCTAAATATGAGAATTGATTTGATATTCCTTAGAAAAGTGGTGCGCTGAGATTTTTTTTCTTCTTCTTCTTTGCTGCATTTAAATACTGTAGCTTGAGCTCCTGTGATCTGTAGTTGCCCGTGACGTGGCATAGTTTATATTTTTTTGATATGAAGAAGATGAAGTAAATGACTTTATCAGTTTATTTTAGTGCAAATCACCCGTGAATGTTTCACCAGAACAGAGTATACAGAGTAAGGATGTGTAACAGAAGAATTTCTCACACGCTGGTGTAAATCCTGATGATGCAAACTCAACATACTTACCCGTCAGGCCAATAAATGTCAAAGGTATCTCTGTAAAATATGTTGTAATTATTTGTGACTAAACAGATGGCAATAAAAAGCTGGACCTGTACGGTGTTGGTGGAATCTTTCCTGATTTTTTTAAAAACAATTTCTATCTTAATTAGGTAAAAAAAGAAAAAAAAAAGATGAATACGTAATACAGTAACTAGATGATTATTGGCAGCAGTATTTACATACACGTCAGTTGAAATGGGCAAATATTGAAAGACCAATAAAATAAAGATTTAACACATGGTTTAAAGCCACATGTAATAAATCATACAAACATACATGGTTTCATGACGTAAAGGAACCGAAGGTCCAATTACATTGTTATTCACTGCATTGATTTAGAGCTGCCACGTAAATATTGACATACTGTAAAGATTACCATAGAAGTGACAGAATTTGTATGAGAAGTGAACGTTTATACGTTTGAAAACGGTTACAAAGCATAAAATATTCCCATAAAAAATAGCAAAAGATTTAAAGAGAAGTTCAAAAATGGGCCTTGAAGTTAACTAGATATGTCATAATGTGACAATGACAGAAGTGAAGTTTAACTAGTTGAAGCTAATGTCTAAATTCTAACTGTAGCTAAATATGAGACACGCCATGGCAGGCTAGCAGGAGCCACAATAGCTAATAGACAGAATAATAATAAATAAAATGTTGTAAAATGCAGCTAAAACCCCCATGTTTATGTTTTTGTATGTATTTACGTTAATTTAGCTGAAAACAAAAATTAGCGTAGATACATGCAAAAGGTGAGCCAAAGGCTAGCTGACAGTATAGTGCAAAAAAAGCAACATTACTGTGTGTGTAATTGAATACTCTATGTATAATATGTCAGTTCACTTCCTCTTTTGCCATTTCCTTATCACTGTATGTGAGGACAGAAACTCATATATACAACATTATTTATCTATCATGACACAGACCATTGAAATTCACTGCCTGGAAACTCCTAGGTACACTTCTGGGAAGCTGCATTTACCACATTTTAACTTTTTTTTTTCTTTCTATATTGCTGTGACTTAAATGACATCAAGCGTAGCTGCTGGGATTCCCACAAGCAGAGGCTCGTGTCAGCTGAGACGAAGCAGCTAAACGAACACCAGACCGGCCGTAGGAAGGCCTTTCTACAGTGTTGGACGTTTGGTGTTTGTTTAGTCTTGGTCTTGTTTGTCTTGTAGTTTGTCCCTGTGATAGGGAATAGCAAACACAGGCTGGTTTAAAGAGGTGAAGGGGTGTGGAGATGAACATCTATTACCATCAGCAGCTGCTGACTCAGCTGTCTGAAGAAACGGCTGTCACCCTTCACTTCTGGGAGTCGTCCAATCAATTTGTAGAATCAATGAAACCACAGTGGTGTACGTGTGTGGTCTCGTACAGACAGAGAACGAAACTGTTGATGAGGAGTTTCTCACTTGACTGAAGAAGTGAAGTAAATGGTTTTGGTTTTTTTAGCTACATGACGAGGACTTTTGCAATTACAGTCAATAGCCTTGAATTTTTCCCCTTTTGTTTTCAGAACTGTCAGTATTGAAATTCATGGAACCTAGGGGTATTTCTAAATGCTTTCGATTTGTTCTACATTTTATGAAATGCCCATAGACTGTATGTAAGAAAAGAACATATGATATATTATATTTGATTTTAAGAAAAAAAAGTGAAAACGTAGACCAGTAGTAAGGGCATGGTTTTGCAATTTAAGCTTTTTTTTAAAATAGTTGCATAATATCTGGTAATAATAATAATAATAACAATAATAATAATAATATATTATTATCGCCAGACGGTGGCACTGTTCTCCAAACTGAAGAAAATGTGCACTACACTTCACTTCACCTAAGTGTTTTGCATGAAGTGATGTCATATGTTAAATTGGACCTAGTCACATTTAGAAACGTAAATTGTATTTTGCATGCAGTACTTACGTGCAGTACTATTCAACTCATACGTGTTTTTATGTTAAGCACGTGTCGTAGTGACCGCAACACTGACATTTGTCAACATCATCCGCGTCTATACGAACACTGACTGTGACAGCTGCACTCGAAACAGAGCTATCAAAAATAATGTCGTGTTGTAGAACTCTATATTTTCAACCCTATTTTTAAATTTTAAAATTTAAACTATGTTCTATCTTTTATTCAAAAGCTAATTTCATAATTCTTTCTAAAATAATTCAGGCTGGTTTAATTTGTACTTTTTCTAAAATTATATTTAAAACCTCTGAATATTGAACGTTTTTTTTAATTGCTAATAATAAATTTACTAAAAATGAGATTGCCTTTTAAGGAAACAGAGCAAAGCAAAACAATGAACAAAAAAACAAAACAACAACAACAAAAACCTGCAAAATCACCAGCAGTTTAATGTTACTTTTGAAAGAAATACTCTGTTATTAGCATGAGTCCGAATCAACCAACCACAAAGACGGAGAGACATCAGCTGAAAGTCAGTGACAGAGCGCCGGAAGTGGGCGTGTTCACAGAGAGGGAGCGAGAGACACAGAGAGAGGGAGAGAGAGAGGGTTGAAGTGTCAGGCGAAGTGCTGCAAACTAGTGAGTGAGTGACAGAGAGACTTGGAGACCGGTGGAAGTGAAACGTCCCCTTGCAGTTTCTGTCCACGTTTTATGAGAAGAGGACAAAAGGACAACAGGTCCACGGAGGTAAGAGCGAGAGTCCAATGTCTCTGGAGCTTGTGCTGCGTGCGGTGCGTGCCTGCGTGTTTGTGTGCGTGTTTGTGTGCGCGCGCGCGCGCGTGTGTGTGGAGAGCTGAACGTCGCTGGTTACTCTTCACCGTTCACTGGCAGCGAAGGAATATTGTGACAGCTCTTTGTAAACAAACCGCGGAGTGCGCGCGCACCTTCCACACACGCACGGAAACTCATCTTTAATGCTGTCGTAGTCACTTTTCAATATATATCTGTTTGTTATGCGGACTTTGTTTCCCCCCACTTGCAGCCCTGTAGTTGATTTGTAGCAGTAGGCTGGTCAGCCCTCCCCCGCCCCCCTGGTATCTCTCCCCGTTACACACATACACACATACACACACACACACACACACACACACACACACACACACCCGCATAAACGGTGCTGTGCAAGCTGTGGACCACTGTCGGAAGTTTGACAGTGGACCTGTCAAGAAGGTGGACCTGCTCGGCCCCTAACGTAAATACGTTATAAGGGACATTTGAGGAACATCTTAAAGTTCCGAGTTCAATATTTGGTATTTTTTCTTCATGAATTCCTATTTTACATCCGTACACTATCAATACTCTTAGGGGAGCTGTTCAAGGATAAGGAGCTTATAGTGCTTTCAAATAGATTTGGTCAAAGTTATCATATTTATTTATGTTTAGATGCGTGAGATTTGCTTGTCTTCCAAACAAGCTGCTCATGTACTGTACATATACTGTATATAAGATTAGCCAAACAACTTACACAGAGAAACCTGATAATTATAGGAAGCTGGCATAAGCGATAAATGTTATTTGTACTCAGTGAAGAAATGGAAATCGGCTAATAAGGGATTTGACTAACTTTTACTACGAATTGTTTTTCAACACATCTGAGTCAAGTCCCCACAGCTTCAAATCTGAAGACCTAATGAAGTCTGGTATTTGGTTTGTTGAGTCATGTTGACTTGCGACATAGACACTTTGAGTACGACTTGAGTTGGTTCGTGGTCGTGTTGCGTTCACGTCCAGCTTGACTTGCCTGAAGAGCTGTCTCTGTTTACACACTTTGTCATTTTCTTGGTTATTAAGGGCAGCGTTGCCGTGATGAATGATCTGTTTTTGCTGTACACCCACAGAGAGAGTCCTTCGTGATTCTAGTCGTCATGTTGGCACAAACAGTGTTTCCTGATGTTCCTGGTCATTAACAATGTTGTGTTGTGACAATATGCTCACTGCGTGCTGTGATAATACTCCTCCTGCCGAGTGAAAACTTTGAGTCCTTGGCGTCTTTCCTGCTCCATAAAACAGGAGAAATGGTTCCACTGGGACACTCACTTAGGTTTTGAGTGCCACTAGTCTGTTCTATTCTATTCTGTTCCATCCTCCGTTCTTCACCCTTGGCAGGCACCGTATCACCCTGCTTGCACACTCCCTCTCTATGCAGAGCAGTAGCAGGTTTTTCTGTCTTTTCTGTATGGCTGGTAGAGAAACACATAGCTGCAGGCCGTAGCTAAAAAACAAAGAAATTCAGATGCAGGAGGTGATGCAGCATGAAAGTGGAGGAGAAAACAAAACAGAGTTCTCTCCATACGTCTTAAATTTAGGGTTGAAGCTGGATTGGTTCAAAGCCGAATCAAACATAGTTATATACGACATCCGACATAGTTCACGACATCCTCAACCTACGGCGTTAAGTTGCCATCATTCCGACAGCATTAAAACAAATTTTGCACAGGAACTAGTAGGCGAGTACAGCAAACAGATACATCATCGCTCTATGCTATACGTGGAAGACGTCTTTGTTTACATCGGTTTGTTGTACGCCATAAATTTGCTTATGCTACATTCACTTTCTTTCCTTTATTTTTTTTGGGGGGGATCTTTTTGCCCTTCATTATGGCCCCTAAGCGTAAGTCAGGGCCGGTTGTAAACGGTATAGACTGTATAGATGTGGCTACTACATAACATATTCATTAATGGTTCTGCAATTGATTATAATTTGCAAATATTGATCATTGATTTATCAGATTAAGAGACTGCATGGACCTTATTAAATGCCTCGGTGGGCCAGATTTGGCCCCCGGGCCTTAGGTTTGACACATGTCCTAAAATATGATGTTATCACTGGGTGAGTGAGGGTGAGTGACATGGGTACTTATATACAGAATGAGAGTTCCGACTTATGGTGCAAATCGAGTTACGTCGAGTTACCGTAGGAAGGGAACTCTGATGTAAGTCCACGACTTTCTGTTTATACATAGTTTGGTCCATGTGTTGAGATGTTACAGACGTTTGAATGAAGTTCTTTACCTGAACTGTGTGTGTTATGTTCGTGCCCAGACACTAACATTAGGAGATGAAGTTGATGTTTCAGTGGAAACAAACTTGGGAGATTTTTTTGACCCTGCCTGAGTCCTGCTGATGGTGATCAGGCATTGTGGGTATTCAGCAAGTTTGTACTACCTAGTGATAAGTGGGAGGTTTGCCATTTGATGTTACTTACAGTGCATATATGTTAATGGCTGTTATGTAAAATCCATCCACTCACCTTACAGCTACCAGTCACAGGACTTGGTCATTCCCAGTGATATTTGAAGCTAACGATCTTGAGCTCACTCCAGCTGTTTGTTTTCTTTGTTTGTGACGGAGGCTGTTCCCGTGTCACTCTGCTCACTTGACTCTCACTAACGGGCTGACGGTGCATATCTGTTCAGTCTCCTATTGAGCACGGCAGTCGTCGCCTGTGGTAAAATTTGACAACAATCTCATGATGAATAAGAAGATATGAAGACACCTTTGGATACAGATTCTGGACTGGTGAGATGACACTTTTCTAAGGTGCATTTAAGACACTGTTATGATTCCCGTCGGTCAGACTAATGGGTCTGCTACCTGACAAGCCCCATTATTCTATTTGCTTACAGCGTGGCATTCAAATTCTCACTCTCCACTACCAGACAGGTCTAAAGAAGGTGAACCTAGAAAGACTACAATAAGAAAATCCCAGTACTGCTTAGCAGCAGTAGGTGGGGGGTGGGAAGAGCAGCGCAGGAGATCTGTTGTCAGCGCTGACATCATGAGTAACTAGATGAGAGGCGATTGAAGCAGGGATTTTGATCTGAGCGACCAGTGAGTCAAAGGTGTCAGAATCTCATGAATTCATCATGAATGACAGCGGTGATCTCAGAGCTTTCTGCCGCCCTGACTGTAGACCGAACAGGCGGAGTCTTGACACATAGTAAAGAGGAAGAAAACCTAGCACAAGAACTACTTCGAACCCCCATTGGTAGAAAAATGTCGTTAGATCGTTATAAAACACAATTTCAGACGAACCAGAGGTAAGACACAGGAAATGGGAAACAGTCAAAGGGAAGTGTTGAGGAAGCATGCATCGACACGCCTCCCCCCCCCCCCCCGAGCCCCCACCTCTTTCAGTTCGGCTCACACTAATCCACAGGTCACGTGAGTGTGAGCTCCGACGTGGGTTGAGGTCGAGGAGTGCTCTAATCCATCTGCCAGATAGCGTTGCTGATGGTTGCCATCCAGAGCTCGCTCCGCTCTCTTCCCTGATCGCTGCCTGTTTCTATGCAAGACTCACTCATTTTAATGCCGTTAGTTATTATCAATATTTCCTTGCCTTGGAAATGTCGTCTTTGATTCGATCTCCGGTGCTAACTAATGGTCTCTAATGATCTTGATGGGCATGGGAGTGGACTCCTTGTCTGTGGGTAGGTTTTCCTTAGATACTCTGGCTCATTCTGTAGTCCAAAAACATGCAGGATTAGGTTGGTTGAGCTGATTGACCAGAGGTTTGAATGGTTGTTTGTATGTTTGTATGCCACCTTTGCCTGATGACTGCTGGGATTGGCTACAGCGAGAATGAGGACAGTAAATGAATAAATATCACCACAATATATCACAGTTGTTGTGATGTCACAACTTTCTGTATCTACTAATTTATAACAGGTCTATGCTGGTCAGAAAAGCATGGGCCCTTCCCCTCGTTTCAATGACATACAATGACGTCACAGGCCGGATTTGGGCCGCGGGCCTTGAGTTTGTGAGACGTGATGTAGACTCCATACCAGGGGTGTCAAACTCATTTTGGTTCAGGGGCCATATATAGTCTGATTAGACGTCAAATGGGCTGGACCAGTACAATCATAACATAATTACCTCTACATAACAATAAGTCAATTTGTTTTCATCCAAATAAGTACAAGTTTATTATAAAATCCTCATATTTAATGAAATATAAATTGACAAATCATCGTTTTGTATTTTTTCTCTTTCAAAATTCATCAAGCGGACCAGATTGAACCCACCACTTTGGGCCGGTTTTGGCCCCTGGGCTGCCCTGGGCCGCCCCTGGGCCGTATGTTTGACACCCCTGTTCTATACCGTAGACTTTTATTTTAACACAACCCTCCACATGCTAAGCTCTGGTGAAGCACACAGTGAGATGACGAGACAAACTGCTAAGGCATGTAAATTAGAAATGCGTTTCACAGTTTTTGGAGTTTGCGCTCCATTTGTGGCCCATGAAATGACAACATGTACGACGTGACCATGTTAAACGGTTTGCTCGTGTTTACATAACACCCACCCACAGGCTCAGTACACTGGCAAAAGGCTGTTGCTGTTGGTTGATGAGGGGCCAACGTGCTAAGTCTTGCCCATTAACCTCTGCATAGAACTACATTTTATGTCACCACGTGGGCCCTTTACTGGCTAAGGTTCAGCGATATGAACAATCTGCACGCCGTTATCTTGTATATCTGAAAATAGATTTTAAGAAGCACTTTGTAATTTAGATAAGCATATTTATCGCAGGCACTGTACTGGCAGCTTGTCCTTTCTTTTTATTGTAGCAAGGGAGCAAAGAGGGGTTTTTTCCCTATATGCAAATGTAACAAGAATGTTGTCTGTCAGCATTAAGTGTTACCATAGAGTAACTTGAAGATATTAAACTTCCTGTACTTACA